ATCTTCACTCCTTGGTGAACCAGTTCTGCTCTATGCTGTCCTCTTTTCTTGAGACCTTTCTCCTCTTATCCTATTGTAGCCAAGCCTCAGCCTGGGCTACTTCCTTCCTCTGGTCTTCCTTCACTCCTATTCCTATGCTGCTGAGCAAAGCTGGAGAAAATCATGAAACCATGTTGACTGGTTCCACTACAAATTTGTTACACAACCTCTACAGAGCCTTTCCTGCTGCAAAGCGATCCTTTTATACCTTTACAATGAACTCACTATCCCACTCACCACAGTGGATCTTCCAAAGCTTTTCATTCCTTTTCTAACCTCACATGGCCACCCCTCCCTTACCATTGAGAACTTTGCCTCATACTTCTCCAAAAAAAAAAAAATTGAGGCCATTCAGCATGAGCTTTTTCTTCTCCCCTCTTCCTCATCTCACATCATTCAGACACCTTCCTCCTTCACCCATCTCACATAAAGAGGGGGCTGATATCCTTGTCAAGGCAAACCCCACGACTTGCACAAGCAATCTCATTCTATCTTGTCTCCTCCAGCAAATCACCCCCTCTGCCATCTACCCCTCTCACTTATATTCACTCTCCTTGTCTGCTGGCTTCTTCCCTGCTGCCTACAGCTAAATGGCATGGTGGATAGAGCAACAGGGCTGGAATCAGGAAGACTTATCTTCCTGAGTTCAAACCTGGCCTCAGACACTGGGCAAGTCATTCAATTCTGTTTGGCTCCATTCCTCATCTATAAAATGAGCTGGAGACAGAAATGGCGAACCACTCCAGTATCTTTGCCAAGATAACCACAAATGGGGTCACAGAGAGTCAGATATGACTGAACAATAGTCCTCTATTTCTCCTCCCTCTTGTGACTCAGTCTCCAGAAGGCTATCTACAATAGGCACCTCTGCTTCCTTTCCTCTCACTCTCTTCTTAACCCTTTATGGTCTGGCTTCCTAACTCTACTTCTTGACTTCCCTACAGCCTTTCACACTGGCAATCACCCTTTTCTCCTTGAAACTCTCTTCTCTCTAGGTTTTCTATGATACTGCTCTGTCCTGGTTATTCTCCTATATGTCTTATGGCTTCTTCTCAGTCTTCTTTGCTGGTTCTTCATCTAGGCCATGTCTACTAATAGGGGAGGTGTCCCCCAAAGCTCTGATCTGCTCTTCTCTCTACACTCCTAGAGATCTGATCAGTTCCTATGGTTTTAATTATCATTTTTATGCTGACGATCCTCAAATCAACTTACCTAGCCCTAAGCTCTCTCCTTGCCTTCAGACTTGCATCTCCAAAATGTAATTGGAAATATTTAACAAAATCAATAAGAACACAGTAAAATATCACTGTTAATACATGGCTTTCGCCTACAGGGATTCTCACGTATGGTTTAGTGGCTCGTTTCTACTTGAGTTTGCCACCTCTACACACTGGAGGGACAAGAAGAGAGGGGAGCACTGCGGCTGACAGACCCTCTGGGGTTTGGGCTGATCTTCTGAAGGGGATTTTGAAACCTGAGGTCCCCTTGGGGGGCATCCAAGGCAGCTTGGGGGAGCTAGAGTGGAGAGACCTCTGGGACCCAGTGTCAGAAAGACCAGAGCTCAAATCTGACCCCAGACACTTACGGGCTGTGTGACCCTGGGCAAGTCACGACTTCTCTCTGCCTCTGTTTCTTCAGCTGTAATGGGGATAATAGTAGCACCTAGCCCCCGGGGGATGGTGAGGATAAAATGAGGTCGTTTTAAAATGTTCTGTGGAACTGAGTGCTCTATAGGGGCTAGCTATACTTATCTCCATTTCCTAACTATCCCGCCCAGCCAGGTGCCCTAGGGTCTCATTGAGAGCCCATTCAGGTCCCCCTGCGCTCTAAGTTTTTATATAGCCACACCTTGCGTTTCTCTCTGGGGGAGTCTGCACCTTCAGTATACAAATGGTGGCCAAGAGAAGGCAAGACCTTGCCCAGCATTCCACAGTGGGTCATTGGGGAGGGCCGATGCTAGAACCCAAGTCTTGTCTCTCTCTGCCAGACTCCTTTCTTGTGCTGGTGACAACCTGGAAGACCCTCTGCAGCCATTAACAGGGGCTAATGTTAAAACAGAAAAACTTGAGGCTCAGAGGGATGGACCTGAGGCCACAGCCAGGCTGGAACTCAAGCTTAGAACCTGCCTACGTGTCTGCTTTCCTCATCACCCTCATACCTGCCGGGAAGCCTGCTCCCCAGGGCAGGCACTGAGGCTGGACAAGTCCTAGAGGAAAGGGAGAGAAAGGGGGGGTGGCTGCACAGCTTCACTTCTGCCCCCCCTTCTAGCGAGGTGGGGAGGATGGGAGAAAACGAGCCTTAGTACTTGACTAAACAAGGGCCTAAGCTTTGTGATCAAATATGCTTCGCAATTTTTCCAGTGAATGAAAAAGTAGAATAAGGTTTCCCCCTTAGCCCACCAAACATTGCTTGGTCAATGCCATTTAAAACGGCACTACCTGTAATGAGCCAGTACCTGTCCTCACCTGGGTCTGATATGATGGGAGATCATGTCACACTCCAGGAGCCCGGGTGGGCAGATATGGATTCTTCCCATGCAGGTGCAGAATTGTTTCATTTCCTCGACTGAATCTTGTCTGAAAACGTGGCCGTCTAGATGTTAAGGTCTAGCTGATCCTGCATAACCACATGCGGCTTTGACACACCTAGTGGTTTCATCAGGCCCCCGTGTGCCCTCTGTCTGAAGAATCCCTGCCCCTCTGTGCCCGCATCCTGCACTCGGCCCACACACGTACACTTCTGCTCTGTCTGGATCCCAGCCCTCTTCATCTCACTGTTAAACATGCTGGACTTGGGTGAGACCCTCACGTAGATGGCCTGAATTCTCTCTAGCCACCCTCACAGCTCGATCCAGCGTGGCGAATGAATTCCTTGAATGAAATCGATATTTACTTTCCTGTTTCAGCCCCTGCTTTATTTCCCAATTGGGCTATATTATAATGCTGATTTGGTTTATCTTAACATTTATCAAGCACACATATTCTCTCACCATCCAAAGATGGTGCTCTGCTTAAAAAAAAAAAGTTTAAAAAGCGAACAACTGTAAAGGCACTAGTTCCCATGACGAATAGAATTTTGCTTTTGAAAAGAAGAGGTCTGTTAAATGATTGATACCTTTTGTTTTTATATCACAATAATTTACACACACACACACACACACACACACACACAAAAGCAACCAAAGCTGTGACCTAGTGTGACAAATTATGCCACGCTGTGCTTCCCCACCTCTCTCCTGACAAGGGAGGCATATTTCATTATCTGTTCTCCGAGGGTTAGAAGTAGGCTCCAATATCATTTAGCGTTCCTCTCCATGTGACCCCTGCTTTTCTTTTTCCTTTTCTGGAACATCATCCTTCATTTCTCTCTGCCCACTATGGATGTATCCTGAGGCTTTGTCCTGGATTCTTTTTTCTCTAGCTCTTCCTTGGTCATCTCAGGAGCTCCCATGGGTTCACTTATCCCGATGGAATAATGCTCAAATCTATGCAGCCAGCTGTAATCTCTTCTGAATTCGAGTCACAGCCTCCCAACCTGCTGGACTCCACCTGGACAGTCTTTCAGCAGGTCTAACTCAATATGCCCCAAACAGAACCCATTCTCTTCCCTCCTAAAGCTACTTCTCCAACACCCTATTTTGGTAGACTATACCATCATCCTTCCAAGCATGGGAGCCAACCCCCTCAGTCACCTTTGAGCCCCTCCCTCTCTTCAGCATCTCCTCTATCCAATCTGCCTTCTACTCAGTTGTCAATCAACTTCTGAAAACACAGATCTCACCAAATCATTATCCCTGCTCCAGAAACCTTCACTGGCTTCTTTTTACCTCTAGGATAACCACTGATTCTCAGTCTGCCACATAACAAACTCTATTCCAGCCAAGATGTTCCTTCTTCAGGCTCGCTGCCTTTATGTGGACTGTGCCTAGGTGTGGTGTGCACTCTCTCCTTTCCATCTGCTTCTGAAAACCTTTTAAAGATGACTTCAGTCATGAGCTCTCACATGAACCCATTCCAAACACACCCAGCTATCAGGGATCTCCCCAAATGACCTTGCATTTATTAATCCATTTGCACTTTGTGTTTCCCACTCCACATGACCCTCCCCTGCCCCCCCCAAAGAGAAGATACTCCTAGAAGCCAATGACTTTTTAGGTTATGTCCCCAGCACCTGAGCACCAAGCTTGGACCTGAAGAGTCTTCAATAAATGTTTACTGTAGACCATTAGAAAAGAGTGGAGAGTGGAAGAAAGAACGTGACTACTGGAGTAAAGTTCTGGAAAAGGATCAAGGGGACAGAAAAAGGATCTAACTTCAGCAAGGGCTCAAGACAAGTGTTCCTCTGTGATGGGAATAAAGCAGAGATAGATGATTCTCAGAATTCTGAGAGGAAAATTGGAGGAGCAAGAACCTGACACATCGCCCCAACATTCGCGGCCAAATAAGAGCAACCATGACATAACATTCATAGATTCTCTTCTCTGGGGCCACAGCTGGAAAGGAAAAGACCTTAGAGGTCCAATCTCTTCATGTTACAGTCAAGGAAACTGAGCCTCAGGGAAGTTGGGTGACTGGCCTAGGGTCACAAAGGCATGACGTACCAGGCAGAATGTGAATCTAAGTCCTCTGACACCATACCCAGTGCTTCACATACTGAACCAGCAGCCTCTTTTGAGTAAGCCATGCTCTCAAGACAAATGCCATCAGGTTTCTCTCCAGTGTGAAGAATTTTTTATGCTAAGTGTTGCCCTGGAACTAAAGTCCCACCCACATATTCATTATATACACAAGTAAAGATACTTCTAACTTTGGAACCAGAAGAAATTGGTTAATGACTTTCATAATTTTTAAGGAGGAGCACAGCTGAGGAGATGAAGGCCTGCCAGATGGCTACAACAGTCTTGATAAATTAGGAGAATTAAGACATAGTCACTTGCGAAAATGTAGGGGATGTGGGTGGGATGGGGCTGTCTTAACAAAAGAAGTAAAAGATCTGCAACAGCTGCTGAGAGAAAGCAGGCAAGGGTAGATTTGCTTCATCTATAACACTTCTTTTTGTCTGGAATTTTTCATAAAGGACTTAGCTCAGGCTGAAACCCTTCCCATGTTTATTATATTCATGAGACTCCTGTCCAATGTGAATTATCTGATGTTCAGGAAGTTTTGTGGTCTGGCTGATGGGCTTTCTCCATTCCTTATACACATAAAGTTTCTCTCTCCATTAAAGAGCCAATTATTTAGAAAAAAAGTTATTTTTATTATGAACTTAAACAAGAAACATGAACTCATATATGCAAAGAATAGAGTTTGAAATGGAATTTGTGATAGTCTGGTCTCTCTTTTTTAAGGAGTATAAACATGGTAATAACAAAACTGTCCTTTTGTCTGTGTCCACTCTTTATGAACCGATGTTTAGTAAGGTGTTTGCTCAGAGGGAAAGTCTTCCCTCAGTCATGACATTCATAAAGTTTCTTTCCAACATGAATTTTCTGATGTTGAGTGAGCTGTGATCTCTGGCTGAAGACCTTTCCACACTCACTGCATTCATAAGGTTTCTCACCAGTGTGAATTCTCTGATGTAGAGTGAGTCCTATCCTCTGACTGAAAGCCTTTCCACATTCACTGCATTCATAAGGTTTCTCACCAGTGTGAATTCTCTGATGTAGGGTGAGTCCTATCCTCTGTCGAAAGGCCTTTCCACAGTCATTACATTTATACGGTTTCTCTCCGGTATGAATCGTCTGATGTTGAGTAAGTCCTGACCTATGACAGAAGGCCTTTCCACACTCACTGCATTTATAAGGTTTCTCCCCAGTATGAATTCTCTTATGCAGATTAAGTTGTGACCTCTGGCTAAAAGCCTTCCCACAGTCATTACATTCATAAGGTTTCTCTCCAGTATGAATTCTGAGATGTAGATTAAGTTGTGACCTCTGGCTAAAGGCCTTCCCACAGTCATTGCAAACATAAGGTTTTTCACCAGTATGAATTCTCTGATGGAGATTAAGTTGTGACCTTTGGCTAAAGGCCTTCCCACAGTCATTGCATTCATAAGGTTTCTCTCCAGTATGAATTCTCTGATGTAAATTAAGTTGTGAGCTTTGGCTAAAGGCCTTCCCACAGTCATTGCATTCATAAGGCTTTTCTCCAGTATGAATTCTCTGATGTCTGGTAAGACTTATTCTGTATCGGAAAGTCTTCTCACACTCATTACATGAATAACGATTCTCTGTAGTATGAATTTTATTATGTTGATAATTATGTTGAGTAAGCTGTGCTCTCAGGCGGAATGCCATCCCACATTCATTACATTCATAAGGTTTCTCTCCAGTATGAATTCTCCGGTGTCTAATACGGTGTGTGCTTAAGCGGAATGCCATCCCACATTCATTACATTCATAAGGTTTGTCTCCTGTATGGATTCTGTTATGTCGATTAAGTTCTGTTTTGTGACTGAAGGCCTTCCCACATTCACTGCATTCATAAGGCTTCTCTCCCGTATGGATTCTCTGATGTTGATTAAGCTGAGTTCTCAGGCGGAACGCCTTCCCACATTCACTACATTCGAAAGGTTTCTGTCCTGTATGAATTCTCTCATGTTGAGTAAGCTGTGACCTCTGGCTGAAGGCCTTCTCACATTCACTGCACTCGTAAGGCTTCTCACCGCTGTGGATTGTCAGATGTTGAGTTAGCTGTGTTCTCAGGCGGAAGGCCTTCCCACAAACACTACAGTCAAACGGTTTCTCCCCAGAATGAACTGTTTGATGTTGAGTAAGCTGTGAGGTAAGGTAGAAGGCTTTCTCACATTCATTACATTTAAAATGTTTCTCTCTACTAGATTTTCTATGATTTTTAATAAGTGCTAAATTATACCTAAAGGAGTTTTCACATTCATTACAATTGGAATATATTTTCTTTAAGCACATTTGATTATATTTTCTATAATCTACATAAAGTTTATGTTTTTTCTTGGTAGAATATTTATGGGGACTTTTTCCTACTACTGTCTGTTTTGAAAAGACAATTGGTCCCAGACTGAAGTTTCTGCTATGTTGATTATATTCACAGATTCTCATTTTATTCACAGATTTGTTTACCGTGACTTTCGATGGCTGAAAATGTTTTTCTTCATCGCTTTGCTGATTCTTTAACTTGGCACAATATTCCCAGACTCCTCCTAACTTGGAGATGAAAGGATCATTGCTTTTGAGTATTTCTTGGGATAATCTTTCCATAGAAATGACCAACTTTGGAGGTGACTCCTTGGATTCAAGCAGAGTCTCCCAATCTGAAAAATATAAAAAATGTAAATATTCCCCATTCACCTATCACTTAATTCTCTCCTTTATTCTCCACCAAAAATAGATCTTCTAAACCTATTTCCTCCAAAAACTGCCTTCCACCCAACCAGTTTTTCCAAAGAATAACTCGCTCCCCAGGCGGCTGGGTTTGCTTTTAGACCTTGCTTATTTCATCCGCTCCACAAATTCACTCTTTAACCAGTGTCAGAATTGGCACAATTACTGTTTTATGATGTAACACTGAGAGCTCTTATGGTGTCAGACCCTTTCTCTTATCCCTTTGAAAAATTATTCCCTTTGTTACCCCTGATGTTTTGTTCCTATTTTGAAATTCTACTTCTTGGAGCTGTGATTGAAAATAGCACAAAACTATGGATTAAAGTAACCATTCTGATTGTGTTGGTATGGCCCACCATGGATACTTGAACACCTCCTGTCATCCTATATTTCCATGAAAATAATATGGCACTGGCAGATGTGACAGGCCAAGTCCCCCTACCCCTCTTCCCACCTCCATCACCACACAAGTTGCTTAGTTCTTTTCTTCAAAGCTAAAGAAGTTGTCCCCAAGACTTGAACAGCACAGGGGACTAGCCCCTTGGCTGTGCTGATGTGGCTTCCTGTTTGCCTAAGGGCACCAATGACCTGAGCCCACAGAACACACTTGGCAGATGCCAAGTCAGACTCAGTAGAGTACAAGAGGTCATCTCACACTAACAGCTATGACGGCTAACATTTATGTAGCCCCTACCTTGTGCAGGCCTGTTCTAAGTACTTTCCAAGTATTTTCTTATCTGATCCTCACAACAATCTTGGAAGGTAGGTGATTATCATTCTCATTTTACAGAGGAGGAAACCAAGGCAGGAAAAGTGACTTACTAGGTTCACACAGCTAGTCGATGTCTGAGGCCAGATTTGAATTCAGGTCTTACTGACTCCGGGCACAGCGCTCTATCCACTATGCCAGCTAACTGTCTCACTCTCTGGATGGCAGCTATTCTATATAAAAACAAGTGTACCACAGATGGAAGCAAAGTGGGTAACGCTGGCTGAATATGAGTATCCAGAGAGAGGATACACGTTTACACTGCTATTGTGATAAAGTCATCTCCACTAGTTTTCAGACTGATGTTCCAACTCTCCGTTATCTATCATATCACTGCAAAATACTCCTACCTCCTCTTTATCAATACTCAGTCCCTCAATTTGTTTTCCATCTTTCTGCTATAGATAACTTTTCTAGTACTAAGTCAAACAAAGGCAGTAGGAAAGAGGGTCACCAGTAAAGCCAGAGCCAGGGCAAATAAGCCAGAATCCCAGCAAGACCAGAGACTGGCCAGACGTATAGACTGTGCCCAGAAACAGTAAGAGAGGAGGGCTTCCCCAGAGAGTTCCAAGGGGGTCAGAAACCCATGGCTGGTACCTCAGAAGACACCAGGAATGACATCAGCCAACGTCCGCACAGCAGCACTCATACCAAGATAGCTTAGAGGTGCCTGGCACTGTGCTGAGATACCACAGACGAGCCTGAACCTCAAAGATCTGCGGAGGCTTAATTCTGAAGATGGAGGTCAGTGCAGGAAAGCGCAGGCTAGAGCCAGCAGGGAGAGACAATACGCAGTGGGTGATCCCATCCAAAAGCCTAGCTCAGGAACTAAAACTGAGAAGATGAGTAAACCAAAGAAATCGCCAGTGTGAAAAAGTACTCTATATCCAGATATACCTGATGATCCAGCCTAGGACCCAATAACAACCTAACTGTAGAGATTTAAAAGAAACAAATGGATGTTCTTTTTTTTTTCCTACTTATTTATTTTGCTTTTTGCTGAGGCAATTGGGGTTAAGTGACTTGCCCAGAGTCACACAGCTAGTCAGTGTTACATGTCTGATTTGAACTCAGGTCCTCCTGACTCCAAGGCCAAAACTCTATCCACTGTGCCACCTAGCTGCCCCAAACAAATAGATTTTCACAAGGATTACAGGAATACCTAGGAAAAATGTATCAAGAGATTAAAAAATGAAATTAAAGTTCTGGGGGTAAGAACTAGAAGGAAAATAAGTAGCTTAGAAAACTGTAAACCTTACCCACCAAATGAGACTTTCTCTGAAAACTAAAACAGACCAAATAGAAATCAGTGACTCAATAAGATCCCAAGAAATGTTCAAAGAAAATAAAAATACTGAAAACACAGAAGGCAATGTGAGATATTTGATGTGAAAAACCAAGGAGAGAGAATTTAAGAAGGACTAGATTCCCTGAAAACCATAACATTTTTGGACACTATTTCAACAAAGCAAAAATGAAAATCACTCAAAGAAACCCCAAAAAGAAAGGTCCGAGCATGGCCACCAAAATGCAGCGCTACTGCTGTCATCCAGAAAGAAGCCATCCAGCTCCCAGCAGCCACAGCCCGGACCACACAAGAGCCAGCAGGTTCGGATCTAACTGAGGAGATGCTGGGATTCAGTATTCCAAAGGAGGAGACCAAAGCTACTTCACTTAGTTAACACTAACTTAGCCTACGAGAGTGAGTGGCAAAAGGGGACCCCAAGAGAACAGGCAAGGGGGCAGGCTTTCCAGAATCCCTGAGCACCTGGAAAGAGTTCCATGTGACATGGTGCTAACATCTGAATGGGGGAAAACAAGCATCCCTTCAGAGGCTTGGTGTCTTTGAAGAAAAGACCCTTGACAACTATTGTGTTGTGGCTGTATTTTGCAGTCTGGTGAAGCCCGGGGATCCCTTCTTAGAAGAACTGGCTTATTGCCTACATTTGTAATTGAAGTAAATGCCAAATTTTAGTTAGAGGTTAGTGAAAATGAAGATATTTTTACCATTTAAGTTCAGAGACTCCCTGAAATCGATCCCAAAGGGGTCTATATCCCTATATCTCTTCTTTAAACTAGATCCCAAGTTAAGAACTCTTGGTTTAAAGGGCACAGAAGGAATTAACTAAGAAAAAGGAGAACAGTAATAGACTGATTCTGATCTGGGGGTTTTAAGATGGGAATAAGAAGGTGAAAGTAATATCCTAATGTAGAAAGGATGGAGAAGGGGGTGAAAGTGGCTAATTCTCATTCTTGAGGTGTGCAAGGAGAGAACACAAACATGAGAGGATATGGGGAAGAGTATTATTCAGACTTGCTCTGTCTCCACCAAAGGATACATAGGCTGAACATACAGAGAGCTTGGTATAGAAATGCATTAAACTCCAAATCACTAACTCTTAGAGAAATTAAAGTAAATCTGACAAAAAAAAACAACCCCAAACACACTGAAGGGGCTGTGGAAGAACTGTCACATCAATGCACTGCTGGTGGAGACATGAACCAGTCTGGCCATTTGGGATATGCCCACAAAATAATTAAGCTCTCTGACCCAGAAATGCCATTACCAGGCCCAGGTCACCAAAAAGATCAAACAAAGAGGAAAATGCCCTACATGTACAAAATTATTTATAGTGGCTCTTTTTCTTAAAGTAGAGAAATGGAAATTAAGAGGGTGCCCATGCCATTCTGGAATGGCTAAACAAACATGATCCATACATGTACATGAATATTATTCTTTCATGAGAAACAACAGACTAGACCATGTCATCAAAACAGAAAAATACCCGTAATGAAATGGTACAAAACACAGTCAAACCAGGAGAACAATCTGTACAGAGAAAACAATATCGCAAAGGAAAGCCCTGAAAGACTGAAGGACATTGATCAAAGCGATGACCAGTTAAGTCCCAAGGAGGACTGACGAGGAGGTGTGGTGGCCACCTTCTCAACAGAGCACACACATTCACAAGGCTGTCAGACACACACACCACACGGGCTTGTTTTGCTTCATTATACTTTATAGTAAAAAAATCTCTATCCTAAGCATTTTCACTAGAATTTAATATTTAAAAATCTATTTTCCAAAAAATAAACCATATAAAAGGTCATATAGAAAAAGCAGTTCTCTTGAAAAAAAAATTATCAGTAAGCACATGAATACTTGTTCAAATGCTAATGGTCAGAGGACTTCAAATGATAACGATGAAGAGTCACAAGAAGTAGGTTCAAGGGCCCCTCTGCCACTGCCTATCCCAGTCACCTGGTCACTGCCTCTCTGAACCCCCATGCTCCCTTGCAGCTTGGAATCTGCCCAACAGCCTTGCGCCCATTAAGAGGTCTTGTATATTTGCGCACCAGCTACAACCACATAAGTGGAAACAAACCAAAAAACCTGCTCCTTGTGTGTTCAGCCCATCTATCCTTTGGTGTAGACAGGACAAGTCTGACAGAGTCTACAGTGCCAGAGAGTGCCGCCTTTTCTTCTCAGTCCTGGGAGTTCTGAGGCAGTGCCCTGGCCTATGACCCGTGAGGATGCTCCCTGTGAACGGCAGAGCTGAGTCTCACCTGAAGAGCTGATTCTCCGGGCTCCTCCCCCTGGCTTCCACGGTGCTCCCCCTCGCTCCAGCTGACAAATCACAGACGGTTTGTAAACCACAAGCCCTGCTCATCAGGAACGGGAAAGTTAGGAGCAGAAGCCACCTCAAAACCAAATCCCTGCCCTTGTTTCTTCTGGGGAAATTAGGCGTGCTCGGAGGGGCCAGGGAGGAATACACACAAACTTGGAAGGATGTCTTACTAGCAAGCAAGGTGGTGCACAGACCGAGAAAAGTCTCATGAGATCAATTTCTTTTTTTTGCTTTTTTTTTCTTTTTTTTGCTTTTAGGCAGTTGGGGTTAAGTGACTTGCCCAGAGTCACACAGCTAGTAAGTGTCAAGTGTTTGGTCTGAGGCCAGATTTGAACTCAGGTCCTCCTGACTTCAGAGCCGGTGCTCTATCCACTGTGCCACCTAGCTGCCCCGAGATCAATTTCTTAAGAGGAAGGCAGTCTTTCGTCTTTAGGCACCCGGCTCTGGGCTTTAGGGGAGAATCTAAGGCCTAAGGGAAGGCCATGGGGAGGGTCAACACCTCCAGGGATGATACAACCAAGCTGCCAGCTTGGTGCATAGAGCAAAGCCTGCAGCTTACAAAATAATTCTGTCAGTTGGCCACAAAAAAATTAGCCATCTCTGACCTATTCAGGCCAAATGATAGCTGTTCAGCACTGAAGATGCCCCTATTATATTTACTCAGAAAGAAGCAAAGACCCTCCCCTGGATGGACCCCAAGTCCCGGGGGAGCTTCCTCACCCAGGCACACCAGGTTCCTGAAGTTCTCCAGCATCACCTCCCGGTACAGCTCCTTCTGGGAAGGTTCCAGGTGCCCCCACTCCTCCGGGGTGAAGACCACGGCCACATCCTGGAAGGTCACTGACCCCTGAAACACCAGACATGAATGCTTATCCAGGGACTTGTACAGACTTATAGATCTGGGGAAAGAAAGGAAACTCCCAAACACGACGAGTTCTTAACCCTTTTTGTCAAGGGCCCCACTCTGGTGTCTACTGAAATCTATGCACTTGTTCTCAGAAGCATGTTTTTAAATGCATAAAATAAACACATAGGATTAGGGAGGAAAGCAAACCAAAAGCGGATGGAAACAGAGCGCTCCCTAAAGGCTCGCCACACAGGCTGAGCAGCCACAAGATGCTGTAGTGGGGGGGCGGGACGCAGGCAGGAAGCAGGTTAAGGTCCCACCTCGGACACACCCTAGCTCTGAGCAAGGGGTGCTCCACATCCAAGGAAAGCTCCCTGCATCGATGCAGTCACAGCGCTGCTATTAAAAAGCCACAACTCTGCAGTGCATGCAGTCAGAAGAGCCCCATGTCTGCCTCCAGGCATGCCTAAAGGGAGTGGGGGGGAGTTAACCCAGGGCTAGGATGTGGCAAAGCTGGAGGTCTTTAAAAGGTTCAGGAAACAGCATATTCTGAAGTCTGTTGTGCTTTTTTACAAATGGACGTAGTATAGTTTTTTACTGGATGCTATTTTGTTGGGGGTTTTTTTAGGCAATTGGGGTTAAGTGACTTGCCCAGGGTCACACAGCTAGTAAGTGTCAAGTGTTTGGTCTGAGGCTGGATTTGAACTCAGGTCCTCTTGACTCCAGGGCCGGTGCTCTATCCACTGTGGCACCTAGCTGCCACCTAGCTGCCCCCTAGCAATGTTCACTAGTAACTATGACTCAGGGGCATCCTGGTGATAGGTGCAGTGGATAGAGCACTGGGCCTGGAGTCAGGAAGACTCATCTTCCTAAATTCAAATCTGGCCTCAGACACTTACTAGCTGTGTGATCCTGAGCAAGTCACTTAACCCTGTCTGCCTTAGTTCCTCATCTGTAAAATGAGCTGGAGAAGGAAATGGCAAACCACCCCAGTGTGTCTTCCAAGAAAACCCCAAATGTGGCCACGAAGAGTCAGACAGGACTGAATAGCACCACCTACGACTCAGTTTATACTAGATGCTGAAACATGCAATGAAATAATTGCTCTATTTGAATGTTTTAATGCTGAACTCTTTTTTCTTCATTTTTACATTTAACTTTTTTATTTTCTCAATTACATGTAAGAAAATCTAACATTCATTTTTTAAAATCCCCAGTTCCAAATTCTCTCCATCCTTCCCTGCCCTCCTCCCTCCTTAAGAAGGCAATTTGATATAGATTAGACATGTGCAGTCAAGCAAAACATTTACGTATTAGCCATGCTGCAAAAGAAAACAGACTGAAAAAACAAGACTGAAGAAAGTTTAAAAAAGGATGCTTCAATCTGCACCCATATGCCATCAGTTCTTTCCGGTGGATAGCATTTTTCATTTAAATCCTTTGGAACTGTCTTGAATCACTGTACTGGTCAGAATAGCTAAGTCATTCACAGTTGATCATCATACAAGGTTTCTTTTACTGTACACAATGTTCTCCTGGTTCTGCTCATTTCACTTTGCATCAGTTCATGTAAATCTTACCAAGATTTTCTGAAACCATCCTGCCTGTCTTTCTTATGGCACAATAGTATCCCATCACAATCATATCTCACAACTTATTCTTCTATTCCACAACTAAAGGGCACCCTCAATTTCCAATTATTTGTCATCACAAAAAGACCTGCTATATTTTTATATTTTATATGTCCTTTACCTTTTTCTTTGACCTCTTTGGGGTACAGACCTAGTAGAGTGCTTTGAGGGGTCAAAGAGTATGCACAGCTTTATAGCCCTTTGGGCAGTTACAAATTTTTCTCCAGAATGGCCGGATCAGTTCACAACACCAACTTTCCCCCCTCACCATTAATGTCCTAATTTTTCTACATCTCCAACATTTGTCGTTTTCCCTGTCATGTTAGCCAACCTGACAGGTGTGAGGTAGTACCTCAGAGTTGTTTTAATTTGCACTTTCTCTAATGAATGGAGACTTAAGTGCATTTTTTTCATATGACTATGGATAGCTTTGATTTCTTCTGAAAACAGCCTGTTTATATCCTTTGACCATTTATCAGCTGGAAAACGACTCACATCCTTATAAATTGGACTCAGTTCTCTACAGCTTTGAGAAATAAGGCCTTTAACAGAGATACGGGCTGTAAAAAATTGTTCCCAGTTACTAGCTTCCCTTCTACTCTTGGATGCATTGGTTTTGTTTTTGTGAAACCTTTCTAATTTGATGTAACCAAAATTATCCATTTTACGTCTCATGATGTTATCTCTTGTTTGGTCATAAATTCTTCCCTTATCCATAAATCTGACAGACAAAATATTCCATGCTCTCATAATTTGCTTATGCTATTAACCCTTATTTCTAAATCATGTATCCACTTTGACCTTATCTCTATATATAGTGTAAAATGTTGGTCTATACCTAGTTTCTGCCAAATTGCTTTCCAGTTTTCCCAGAATTTTTGGTCAAATACTGATTTTTTTTTTGTCCTCAAAGCTTGGATCTTTGGGTCTGTCAAACACTAGATTACTATGGTCATTTACAACTGTGTATTGTGTACCCCATTCCACTGATCCACCACTCTATTTCTTGGCCAGTACCAGACTGTTCTGAGGATTACCGCTTTGTACTATAGTTTGAGATCTGGCACAGCTAAGCCATCTTCCTTCACTTTTTTTTTTCCATCGATTCCCTTGACATTCTTGGCCATTCCTTCTTCCAGATGACTGTTTTTACTATTTTTTCTAGCCCTATAAAATAATGTTTTTGGTAATTTGATTGGTATGGTACTGAATTAATTCTTAACAACTCTGTGAGGCAAACAGCAGAAGTAAACACTTTGCTCATTTTAAAAATGGGAAAAATATAATAAATGGAAGGTGACAGATCACAACAGAGGGTCCTATAGCTAAAGTTGACATTGCATGCTATGCTCTTCTACGTCACCATGACCAAAGGACTCACATCCTGGGGGTAGGGGGAGTGGGGGATGGACTCAGAGGGCAGAATGAACCATATTTTTTTTGACATGGCTAGCACAGGGATTTTTTTTAACCTAATTATATGTATACATAATTATAAGAGTTTTATTTTTCTTCCTTTTTTTTTTTCAAGGAAGGCAGGGGGTAAGTGGGTAGGGGAAAATATTTTTTTAATAGGAAAAAATTTTTTAAAAAAGAAGGAAATTAAACACACATGTACCTCACCCCCAGAAGAACTAAGTCACAAATTTCTATTTTGTCATTTATTGAAAATCATCCGTTTTCCATGTCTTATTAATGTACAATTAAGTATTAATTTACAATTAGAGAAACAGAGCAGCACCACTGCATTAATAACAAGTAGGATTTTGACTAAATGAAATACTCCCAGCCCCTTCTAACATTTCTTTAGAACGGCACAGTCTCAGACTCATGCAGCAACTTTCCTGGAGGGGCCTCCGTGGAAGGTCCACTTTGACTCACACAAGTTTACCCTGGCACATAGATTCTGGATTCTAGTCGGTAAAGAAGGTTTCCTCCAACATCCCCTTTTACTGGGAACTATTAATTGAGCCCGTTCATTTCTGACCTAATGGCTGACATAATTCTAGTGTTTTTGTCTTCACTGAAGTCTTACAAACATGTAAGGTATAATTACCTAGTTTTCACAGGACAGAAATCTGATGCTCGGACAGTATGACCTGAGCCTGAATGCAGCCAACTCCTTCCACAAGAAAACGCCTCTAATGTGTCACATTTACCGCGTAGAGGAAGCTGCTTCTGATTCCCCCCACAGCCAGACAACCCCTGATACAGGTTCTGGTCTTCTCTTGACTTCTTGTCCACCTGTTAGACAGCTTCACCTAAATAAGCACACACTCGGAGGTTGCCACCTTCCCCATCTCTCCTCATCCCCACCTTGATGACTCAACCAACCCCAAAGAAGATGGGATTCAGGGAAGCATCAGAAGCCTCGGCAAGCTCCTACAGGCCCTTCCTTCTCTGAACACAGCCAGCACAGTGCCTTCAAGACTCACCAGGGAGCTCCAACAACAGCCCTGCCTGCCCACCTGGTGGTCACCCCTCAGTCTGCAGGAAAAAGAGAGACAGCGGGGACAGGTGCAAGCCTCTCCTTGGTCGGGCACGGCGTCCTGCTTCTAATACTTCCTCTTTCCCTAGGTCTACCCTGATGCCCTCATCAGGCAGGGGGCCGCAGTGCCCATGAAGTCGCTTCAGTCAGTCACCACCAAAACCCTCACATGAAAGCAGTGCTGGCAAAGCAGATCCCCTGTGGGCTGTGGCATTGAACCAGCAGCCACCACACGTGTCCGTCTCCACTCCCTGCCATCTGTCGGCAGCTGGCACTGTGGAACACCAGCTTCTCATCACACGCCCAGGAGGCACGGGGGACTGAAAGTCCCAAGGACAGGGCTCTTCACTCCGGGAGTGTCTTGGCTCCTGCCTTCAGGAGGACTTGCCTCATCAGCTAACCTGCTTCCGGACACAGTCCCAGCTGACTCTCTCCAGCCTCTCCTTAAGTCCATCCAGGCCTCAAGACACCTCAACTCACAAAAAAAAAAAAAAGGTCTTCAGAAACAGGGGAAATGGAAATGGTTCAGACAGCTCCTTCCTTCCTAGAAAGGTTTTGGGGACCAGCTGGTAGAATGATGGAGAGCTCTGCTTTTTTAATGAGTTATGTGGTATAAGGTAGAACTTTATTTATTTATTTATTTTGGTGAGGCAATTGGGGTTAAGTGACTTGCCCAGAGTCACAATGCTAGTGAGTGTCAAGTGTCTGAGGCTGGATTTGAACTCAGACCCTCCTGACCAGGGTGGATGCTCTATGCACTGCCACCTTGCTGCCTCTGGAAAGGCAGAACTTTATAATCGTGGTAAGGCCAGCTCACCTAGAAAACAAAGGGGATCCTTTGGCTGGTGTGTGGTAATCTTGGGAGTCTCCCCCTGGCCTCAGGCCTCTTCCTGCAACTGCTGGTTCTGCTTCTAGACCAAGATTCACACACAGCCGCCATGTCCCCCTGAGTCTTCTCCAGGCTAAACAAGGCCAGCTCCTTGAATCTACAAGCATTTATTAACTACTTATGAGGTCAGGCTGGGTACCCTGGGGGGGGGGGGGGAGGGAGGCACGCGTCCTAGTGCCCAGAGCGTCAGGTCTGGGGTCAGGAAGACTCATCTACCTGAGTTCAAATCCAGCCTCAGACACTTCCTAACTGGGTGGCCCTGGGCAAGTCACTTACCCTCTGACTGCCTAACAAAGTGAAGCCACCAGAGAAGGAAATGGCAAAGCACTCCAGTACTGCTGATGAGAAAACCCCAAACAGGGTCACGAAGGACTGAACAACAACTAAGGAGAAGGGAATCATTCTAACGTCTCGGAGGTAAGGGCAGTCAGAAGCAGAATTTGGGAAGGAAAAATTTGGCAAAATGTGGGAGAAAATTTTTTAAAACTGAAGGAGAACAATTTTGTCCTCCAGATTCTACTTTTTGGCAGGAAAAGAAACAAGATCGAGAAAAGTTAAGGAAGATATTAAGAGGTATTAAAGAGGATACTGGAGGAGTAGGGACTGAGCCAGGTCCACGAACAAGGAGGAAGTGGGTGGCAGATGATGAGAAGAGGTAGATGCGTTTACAACCTAGGCACCATCCTCCCTCCTTCCTCTCGTCCCTTACCCCAATCAGCTGCCCTGGCTATCATGTACCTTTAGAATGAATGGATGAAGCATTTATGAAGCTCCTGCTATGGGCAGAGCTTGGTGCTAAGTGCTAGGGATGAAGACACACATAAACACCCCTCCAACTTGGCCCTCCTCTCCTGTGACACTGCACCCCCAGCCACAGACCCTCAACACCTCACACCTAGACCCGCAACAGCTGCTGGGGGGCCTGCCTGCCTCAAGACGTCCCCATTCTCACACCAAAGCGATTTTCCTAAAGCAAGATCGGATCATCTTACACACCCCTCCCCCCCAAGTAACTCCATTGGCTCCCAGATCAAATACAAAAAAGCCTGTGGCTTTGAATAAACCCTTTATAATCTGGCCCTTTCTGCCCTTCATTTCAAGGAGGACCAATGACATGACAGGATGATGGCATGCCTCATGCATGCACTGGATGTAAGGGAGGCAGAGCTTCACAAAGCCCTCCGTCACTCTCTCTTCCAAGTCACTGAAGTCCAGTGGCACGACAAAAGACAGATAACCAGCAATGGCCCAGGCTGCAGCAGATGACCTTGGCTTCTCCATGTCTGACCAAGCTCCAAGCGCTCCATAGCGTCTGCATGCTGCCTTCACGGTTTGTGGAACCGTTCTCATCGGCCCATTCCACCAGGGAAGTCTCTACATGTTTGGGCAGAAGTCCCCTAACTCACCAAAGGGCTGGAAGGGTTATCCTGCTTAACCTGGTTTAACCTGTCTACCCGGGTGTGGCTGCTGCAGATGCTACAGCTTTGTGAAAGTGAGAGTTGGGTGAAGGCCCAGGAGCAGCCTGGAAAGGGGCTGGAGCTCCGCACCGGAGGCGCTCTCCTCCCCAAGGCTCCATGCATCCCGGCAACGCTGGCCGGCTGGCACTTGAGACTCTCACCTCCCAACTTCAGCTGTTCTCCGTGGCTGCCCACATGCCGGGAAAGTTCTCTCTCCCCTTCATGGTTGTGCCATTCTCTGCTGACTGTCTCCAGCTTCTCCTGTTCCCAGGCTGTCTCTCCTGTTAGACCACGAGCCCGCTGAGGGCGGGGACTCCCTGCTTTCTGCCTTTCTTTATGGCCCCAATACCTGGCACATATCTGGTACACAGGAGGCACTTAATAAGTGCTTGCTGACAAGTGCTCTCCTTCCCCAAATATCTTGTATTTGATTACTTTGCTCATGTTGATAGGAACGCTTTATATTTATGCTGCATGTATCTATATACGTACAGGGGAGCAGAGACTTTTCATCCTCTGTACTTGTATCCCCAGTGCCTGACGCACAGTAGGAGCTTGAGAAATGCTTGTTGAGTAAGAGAAACAAGCAGGAAAGGAAATGACATCAGCTTAATGAATCTACACCAATGTAAAACACATGCACTTAATATCAAAGCAGCCAAATGATTAGAAGGGAACCAAAGCGGAATTTGAACGCAAGGTAAACAGATCCTTAAGAGGGTCTAGAGACCGGCCAGGTTCACCAGTCAGAACTTCACAAATTCAACAGCAGGGTAAACAACCTTAAATAAAAAAACTAGATTTAATAAATCTAGGGAGACTTCCAAATGGAAACTTTAGCCAAGACACGTATTTCTCAGGCTCTCATGTGACTTGGACACACACACACACACACACACACACACACAATCAAGTATTAGGGCACAAAGAACTTAACACCAACAAAAAAGGGGAGAAAGTTAAAACAAATTAGACCATGACATAATAAAGAAAAAGAGAAAAGAGGCAAAACTGGAGACAAAAGACTCTGTGCACCTAACAGTGCCTGGATCAAGACCAAGCTGTAGAAACAATGACCTTAAGAAGAACACAGCAGACAGCAGAGAGCTCACCTGGCGGTGGCCGGCTGTCCCAAGTACAGGGGTCATTCTTCCGCTTCAAGGTTCCTTCTCTTGAAGGAGAGTTGTCTAAGGCGGAGCTGGGGAGGAAAAGGAACCAGAAGCGGGGTTACCAAGCTCTACTGCTAACAGTCAACCGGGGGCAGGGCAGCCACCTCAACTGGACCCCATTGGCAGCTTTGCCAAGCATCCTCCCCTCGAGCTGGACACTAGCAAACCTACTTTAGCCATAGGGTACGCGGCTAACTGTCCGGTTCCCACCCCTAAGCGCTAGACCAAGGTGACGGCTGAGGTCGGGGCTCTGTGAGGACTATATTGACCCGGTAGGTATCGGGGAACTCCCCTTCTTTCCAGGGGAGCAGGGCAACGGACTTAAGGGCTCGGGGCTGCTCGACACCCCAGTGATGCTTCCTCTAGACGAGCCTGGGGATGCCCGGGGCTTGAAGCCCCGGGGCTGTCCCGGGAGCCACGGCCACAGCTTTGGTCCCTTCCTCGGGCATCCTTCTCGCATCTACACTGGTGCCGGCAAGCCTCCGCAAGCTCCCGCCTCGCCTGGCAGCTGCAGACTAGTCCCTCCGCCCATGGCCGGCTCTTCTCCGAGGGTAAACGCCTCTGTCGTCCGTTAGGGTCCCTCCTCGCCGGGCTCCCTCCAAGGCGTTTACACCGCCTTCCTCAAGCACCTTCTGCACGGAGCCCTCCCTGATTCCCGCATAGGACACCCTTCCTGGGCACAAGTCCCCCCCCGCCCCCCAGGTGCTGATCAGGGTCGGACGGCAGTTCGCAGGTGACCCCTCCTGCCGCGCCCCTACCCCACTTCACAGCCCAGGAGAGTGTGACTTGGTGTGCAACCCAACTGACAAGACACTTGAACCCAGGGACTCCCTAGGCTCCGGCCCACCCCGCCTCCATGACCCCGGCCACCCGCAGGGACCTCGCTCCTTCCTCTCGCTTGGGTGGGGTCCAAGGGGAATCCAAGACCCCCCCACCCCCGCTGCACACCCAAACCCCTGCCCTCGGGGTGCTTCCTCCCAGCAGGAGCAGCCTTGGAGCCCAAGGTGGGGTCCTGCCCTGGGGGGGGGGTCGTCTGACCCCCGGGGCACGGAGGGGAGCAGGGTCCAGGATCAGAAACTGGGGGTTTCAAGGTCATCGAGTCTTTTACAAAAAAGGAAACTGAGGCCGGAGCCGGCGCGGGGACTGGACAGCACGGCAAGGCACGGCCAGGGTCCGCGAGGGGCAGCCCGGGGGATTGCGGGGCTGTGCCGAGGACGCTAGGCCGCTCCCTCCCCTCCTACCTCTCGGGGCTCCGCCCCTGGCTGCCACCTTCCTAGACTCCCCGCCACGCCCAGGCTCAGGCTGGGGAAGCAGGAACCCGCCGGGCACAGGAGCGAAGCGGAGGTGACGTCACGCTCCCCCCTCCCCCGCTCTCATGGCTAACGAGTCCCTTCTGAAGGGCAAAGCCTTCTGGGAAACGTAGTCCGGATTCCTGCGGGGCTCCGTGCGCATGCTCGAATCCCGCCACCTGCGCAGGCGCTTTCTGCCGTTGGTCCCCGAAGCTGGACTGGTTCCCGTGGCAGTCTGCCCCTCCCTGGTCTCCCGGCGCCGGCTAAGCCTGACCTCCCCGGCCCTGACCATCCGCCCACCCCAGGACCCCGGCCGCGGGAGCCCGACCCAGGCCCGTGACTGATCCCGCAGAGCCCTCGGATCGCCAGCGCTGAGCCCCTCCCCCACCCCAGCGCGCCGGGCCTCAGTTTCCCCCTTTCTCAGGGGGCCCAGGTCCCCACCCTCTCTGAGTCTGGGCAGCTTCGACAAGGTCGAGGAAGAAGCAGGCCCCTCCTGGGTCTGGGACGAGGGCCTCCCGGGACCAGGAGGAGGAAGAGGCCCCCTGGGGAGCCACAGCTGTGGACCATCGGGGGGAGTCGTTTGGAAGAAAAGGGGGGGCTCAGGCCGGGCTTCCCCCCAGGCTTCTGGGGCGGGGTGGGGCACGGACAGGGAAAATAAATGCTTGTCATTTAAAGAAATCTTAATTTTAAAAACTTGTAAGTCAGCAACCATCAGAGCTCTTAAGAGTCCTCTCACCAAAAATGAGTCTCATCGGTGGAACAGCCTGGATACAAAAGGATCAGAAGCATTGGAGCTCAATAACAGCTGGTATGCCTGATAAACCCAAGAACGTGAACTCCTTGGGCAGGGACTCCCTTTGCACAAGAACTGATGAGAAAACTGGAAAGCGATATGGAAAAAAAGAGATTTAGACCAGCCTGTTACTCTTTACATCACAGCAAGTTCTGATACCTGACCATTAGAAAAGGTCATACAGTTGGGTTGGGTTTGGGTTTTTTTAAAGTAGAAGAAAGTGGATGGAGACATCTTTCACAACTAAAGCTGAGGAAAGAATTCTTGACATTGATTATTGATAAACTAGAGATTGCTCATAGAAGAATGTAACCAACGTGATTGAGGACCTTCAAAATTGTGTCCTATGAGAATCATTTTAGGAAGATAAAGATGACTGCATTTGAGAAGAGTGGCTATCCTAGTCAACAAGCATTTATTAAGCACCTATTGTGTGTTGTGCTACAGTGCTGGGAATATAAACACAAGCAAAAACTGCTTTCAAGGAGCTTACATTCTAATTGGGGAAGCTGTTCAGTTGTGTCCAACTCTTTGTGACCCCATGGACCTTTGCACGCCAGACCCTTCTATCTTCCATTATCTGTCAAAATCTTTCCAGATTCATGTTCATTGTTCTCATGATACTGTCTATCCATCTTATCCTCTACCATCCCCTTTCCCTTTTGTCTTCAGTTTTTCCCAGCATCAGGGTCCTTTCCAATGAGTCCTCTCTTCTCACTACATGGCCAAAGTATTTAAGCTTCAGCTTCAACATTTGACCTTCAGGTAAATAGCATGAATTAATTTCTTTAAGTAATTTGGTAAATTATTTAACTTGAAAAAGCTACAAGCTAAGACTAAAGTGGAGTGAGAGTTGGTCTGTGACCTTTTTGTTCACAGATGAATTGAACACTCAATGCAGCCTCTGAAGCTGAGATGCCACAGAGTATAGCTTGATTCTCTGCTCTTCGTACTAACTTTGGCCTGACAGTTAACAGCAAGAAAACAGGTTCTTCACCAGTACACCCTATACCATCTATCCACAGAACCATCAGTTACAGCAAATGGAGAAATTTTGAATACTCTTACCTTGGTAGCATACTTTCTAGGGATGTCCACATAAATAATGAGGTTGATGCACACAGTGCCAGAGCTAGCTCAATGTTTGAGAGGCTCTGAAGGAAAGCATAGGACATAGGTATTAGGCTGCCTACCAAACTGAAAGTCTACAGAGCCATTGTGGGGACCTCATTGTATATTTGTGAAGCCCGGACAGTACACAGGTGATATGCCAGTAAACTGAATTGCTTCTATTTGAATTATCTTAGGAAGAGTCTGAAGATCTGGCAAAATAAGGTACCAGATACTGAGGTCCTTTCTTGAGCTGAATTGCCAGGCATTCAGACTCTACTGGAGCACGGACTGGTCACGTTGTTAGAATGCCAAACATACATTTGTCTAAAGGACTATTTTATGGAGAACTTAAGGCAAGTGCTCACGTGGAGGTCAGAAGAATCAACACCAGGATATTCTCAAGGTCACTGAAGAACTTTGGAATTGATTGTATGAGATGGGAGACAATGGCACAGGACCGCCCAGCATAGAGTGCGTGCATCAAAGAAGGCACTGTGCTCCATGAGCAAAGCAGAATTATAGTAGCTCAAAAGAAATGTGAGATGCAGAAATGTAGAGACATCTTCTCTCCAAATATTGCTATGGACTCTTTGTGCCTGACCTGTGGTAGGGCATTCTGAGCTCCTGTTGGTCTGATCAGCCATAGTCAGATACACTACCTTAACCCCAACATAGTGATGTCATTTTCACACATGAAGGATAACAACAACCATATAATCAGTCTGATTTCTTCCTTGACCATCTGGTGATATTCATGTGTAGAGTCACCTTTTGAGCTGTTGAAAGAGTGTTTGCTCTGACCAGTGGGTTATCTTGACAAAACTCTTATTAGTCTCTGCCCTAATGGGGAATTTGGGAAGACACATAAAAGGAAGCTGAAAGTGACAGGCAGGGAAGAAGAGAGTACTTTGGAGCAAGGTATGATAGAGAAGTCTGGATTGTAGCCTGGTCAGAAATGAAGAATAGCTGTGTTCCAAGTTTATGAAAGATTGGCATGAGGAGAGATGAGCTCTGTTCTGCTTTAACACAGATGGCAGGAGTGGCAGCATTGTGTGAATGTTGCAGAAATTCAGTTGAATAAAAATTTATTAAGTACTTACATATGATAGCCACTGTGCTTAGCACTGGGGAGTCAAGGGGGAAAAAGTCCTTGCCCTTATGGAACTTATAATCTAACAATACATGAAAGGAAGGCTGAGAGGTGGAGGGTAAAGTACGTGGGCCATGATGGTAGAATCAAAGTCAGGATGGTGGAAAATGGTTGAGTTTTGCCTGGATATAATAGGAAAAATTTAACTATAATCAGAGCAGTCCAAAATTGGGATGGACTGTTTTAAGAAGCAGCACGTTCCCCCTCATTGTCAGTCTTTATCTTAACTGGAAGGTAATAGACTTGGTGTACATGTAGAAGGTTTTGGGGGTTTTTTTGGCAAGGCAGTTGGGGTTAAGTGACTTGCCCAGGGTCACACAGGTAGTGAGTGTTAGGTGTCTGAGGCCAGATTTGAACTCAGGTGCTCCTGACTCCAGGGCCAGGCTCTATCCACTGTACCACCTAGCTGCCGCCTGTAGAAAGTTTTTTTTTCAGCCAAAGACAAGGTTTATTAAAGATCAGCCATATTGGCCAGATTTTCAAGGAATCTGAACATTTCTGTTGCTCATTCTGACCAGAGGGCTAGAGTGAATCTCAGACCTGTAGAAAGCATTCTTGAGAAATTTTGTGGAAGTAGAAATGGCAAGAATTGAGTAACTGATTAGATATTGAATGAGGGAGAATGAAGAGGAGTGGATAATGCTGAGATCATGAACTTGGAAGACTGGAAGCATAGCAGTGCCTTTGACAGAAATAGGGGATTTTGGAAGAGACGTGGGATTGGGAATTTCACGGGGAGATAATGAATTCTGTTTTCAACATGGTGAGTTTAAGATGTCTGTTGACTTTTCAGTTTGAAATGTCTCATTTATAACTGGTGATGCTAATGCTGGAAATTATATACATACACACACATACACATCTGTAAAGATGCATTTAATATTTCTGCTTCTCTGCATTTGTTTGTGAGGTTATTATGCCCTAATGCATGGTCAGTTTTGTGAAGGTGTCATGCAAAGCTAAGAAACAGATTTTCTCCTTTCTATTCCCATTCAATATTCTCCAGAGGTCTAGCATATCTAGTTTTTCTAAAATTCTTTTCATCTCTTTAACTTCTTATTTTGGTTTATCTAGTTCTTAGAGGGATACATTTAGGTCCCACACTAGTATAGTAAAACAATTTTTAGTGTCTTTTTCTTCCCATAACTCATTTAACCTCTCTTCTTTGAGTCCCTTAGTGGAAGAGGGCAAGTGCTATAGCCTCCCTGGACCCAGCTGTAGGTGATTGGTTGCAATCTGAGAGTAATAAAAATGCTTTGTAATAATGTGGGTTGTGTTGTTGTTGGAATGGTAAAAGTTCAGAACTTGGCTCACAGGTCCTTCCTCTCCATCTCATCCCCTCCTTGCTTTACACTAGAGGACTTCAGTCTACACACTGGTGCTTTTTCAAACACCCAGTCCCTCAATCTCTCACAACATACACCTTCATTGAACTCCAGCCACAAACAGGAAAAGTCACATGCTTTTTGTGAAATCTATGTAGGCCAGCATCAAGAAGCCATAGCTCTTTAAATGTGACAGACTTTTCATTGCCATGGAGGCTGCTGTTATCAACCTGTGTGTCTCCTATTGGGACCTATCATTGATAAGCATGTTAATATTTGGAAAAAACTTTTTTGTTTTGTAATTTTAGTATCTGCCCCAATCTCTGTAAAATCTGACCAGTGTGCCCTTGGTCTAAAACACTTGCCAAGCCCCAACCCTGGATTCCCCTCTTCTTCTCCCATTCATGTACTGCTGAAGGAAGTCACGGAACTACGTAATCCAAACTAGACTCTTATTACAAGAAAAAATCATTTTACCTCTTCCCCATTGTGTATAAGAAATTCCAACTCTTCTCTCTTCGAGCTTTCCACGCCGCCTCTCTCTAGCCTCTTGACAGAAGACCTTGCCTCTCACCCCGCTGTGAGGAGAGGATATTCATTCTCCTATGAGCTCTCTCCCCTCCATACTGTACATGTCAAAGTCTCCCTTCACTTTCTTTACTCCAGTATTTCATGAAGAGGGGATCCTTCTCTTTGCCAAGGACAACCCTGCTGCTTGTGACGGATAGTACGGTATAGTGAATTATGCTGCTGAGTCAGGAAAACCCAAGTTGAATCCTGCTTCAGATGTCTGCCAGCCGTGTTACCGCGGGTAAGTCACATCTCCCTGTGCCTCAGATTTCTCATCTGTAAAAGGAGAATAGCATAGACTTCACAGGGTTGTTATGAGGACCAACTGGGGCAGTAGCTGTAAAACACTTTGCAGACCTTAAAGAGGGGCTTCGTCCCTTGAGGCTACATTCGACCACTTCCTTCAAGTCTTCTCATCTGTTGTGGACTTGAGCCCCTTTATGGCTTTGGCTGCTCCCTCTGGATAGCTTCCAGTCTGGTCTGGTTGTTGTCCTTTGTTCTTGAAGAGGACCAAAATGACATCACTATGTTAGAGTCAAGTTTCAGTGTGTCCGACTGTGGTTGATCAGATCAATACGAGCTCGGAATGTTCTACCACAGGTTGGACGCAAATAGCGTGTGTGAACATTTGGGGTGGATCCTCTAAATCTGTGCATCTCGAGTTTCCTTTGAGGGGAGTCAATTCTGCTTTGCTCCTGCAGCAGTACAGCACCTTCTCTGATAAGGGCACGCCATGTTGGGTGGTCCTGTGCCAGTGTCTCCTATGTCACAAATCAATTCCAAAGTTCTTAATAGCCTCCAAGCACATCCCAGAACACAGTACTCCAGATGAAAGCTAACAAAACTAGAGGAAACCCCAAATGTTCATACAGACTATTTGTGCCCAACCTGGAGTAGAACCTTCTGAGCTCACATTGGACTGAACAGCCAGTCTGACATACTCTATGTTGACCCCAACATCATGTCGTCATTTTGGTCTTTGAGTACAAAGAGCAATAATGAACAAACTATAGGGATGTCATCTCCCCACTTCTGGAAGTTCCACTCCTCTAAATGCAGCTGAAGGTGGCATTAGCTTCTGACTGTCAAGTCACCGTACAGATTCCTTTGTGGCTTGTACTTCATTACAACTGCTTCCCTATGTTACACTTGGGAAGTTGTTTTTTTTCATATATGATCATGTGACTTTTCACTTATCTCTATTGAATTTTATCTTATTATACTCAGTCCAGTGCTGTTGCCTTGTCACGATACCTTGAGACCCCGATTCTGCCCACCCTCCAATTGGTTTATTTCTCATCTTTGTGTTATATGCAGATTTTGTAAGCAAGCCATCTATGCCTTTATCAAGTAAGTGATAAAAATGTCGAACAGCCCAGGGCCAAACACAGAACCTTGGGACACTCCGCTGGAGTTCTCTTGCCATGCTGACATTGAATCACTATGAACTTCTCAAACAGCCCAGGGCCAAGCGCAGAACCTTGGGGCACTCCCCTGGAGTTCTCTTGCCATGCTGACATTGAATCACTGCAAACTTCTAATTCGGTTTTGATCAGCATCTGATGCCACACACCACAATAAACACCAATCAGATAACTGAAGGTCCTATAACCAAATAATATCAACTGTGATAAAATGGAACAAAGAAGAAATTGATGTGGGGTGTTTCTTCCTTCTCTTGCCATCCAACAGTAAACAGAGGCTTAGAAACCTGGATCCTTTGCCGCACCAATTCCATGGTAACAGAAGTGGAGTCTCACTTGTAATAAATGGAAGAATACTGGGTAGGAAAGAACTTCTGGCCAATGTGGTGTGGAGGTCAGGCCAAGTTTGTTATACTCAAATTCCTGGAAAGGCTGCCTGGGTTAAGCTCAGTTAGATCCTGATGTCCAACAGAACCCAGCCCGTGTTTCACATAGGTCCCTGTCCCAACAGGTGTTTCCTGTGGGCTCCCACACTCCTGCTCTGAGTCCTATCCCAAGTGAGCCTTCCTTCAAGGAGTCTTTCTTAAATCTTTGAGTTGTTAACATTGTTGTGTATTTATTCCGTATCTAGCATTTGCATCTGTGAAAATGTTGTTCTTCCCCAGTTGAACATAAGCTCCTTGAGGGTAAGGACGGTCAATACTTTTTCTGCGATGGCCTGGTCCCTGTCTTGGGCATAGCCTCTGCAGATGACCCAAAATCTCATGTGACTTCTCTTAGTAACGTGTACACTTCATGTCCCATGATCTGGAAGTTACTTGTGTTTGGATGCAATTGTGTCTGATGGCCTAGGGAGACGATGAAATACAACTGATAAAGTGCCAGACCAAGAGTCAGGAAGACCTGGGTTTGAACTTTACCTCGCGTTCTTACTGTTCACGTCAGTAAGGGCAAGTCACAGCCACCAGAGTCCTCAGTTTCTTTATCTGTATGCAACCTACATCCCAGCCGGCCAGACTCGGCCATAACGATGATTTGGTGAAATCTTGGGAAGACCCTTCAGTGTTTTCCTCTGACTCCCATTTGCACTTGCCCAGTGCCCCTTGGGAAAATCTGGGTATAGAAGGCAGACAGTTTTTGTATGCAACATAAAAAGGGGCAAAAAGGGCTGAAGCTCATATAAAAGCACTGAAGGTAAACTGCATATATTATGAAGCTTTGTTCCCCCAAACAGAAAAGTCTGAAAACATATCTATTAGGCACTGGTTTGGGGCCTTACAAATTTGTTAATTCTCAGTGTCTCTTAGATATCACACTTTTACTAATGATAGTTGATGCAGATATTTCCTCATGACTTTTCTTATTCTAGCTTCAGTTTTTTTCATTGACAAGTTTTAAAATTTTGTGTAACAAAATTATTTTGTTTTTAATGATCACCTATCTGTTCCTTATTTGGTTAAGATTCTTCCCCCATCCAAAGTTGTCCAGGATACAACCTATCAGGTTCTTCTAATTTGTTTTTAAAAAAATCTTTTATATACAGGTTTCACATCATTTGAAACTATTGTTGTATATGTGGTATATGTTGTATATGTGGTATAAATGCTGGTCTAAATTTGATTTCTGCAAAACCAATTGTCCCCGAAATTCTAGTCAAATGGAGTTCTACCAGGAAGTTAAGTTCCTGAGTTTACTTCTGAGGAGTGGAGGTCAAATAGACAGCACCTGTAAAATTACCTCAAACCTCCCCAGCAAAGTAAGAATACATGAGATTTCTGGGAGGGAGATGGCTGTGGGCTTTAGGAGGAAGAAGTTTGAAATAACCAGCATGGTAAAGCAGGCATGGATTTGCCTCATCTACAGGGTTTCCCTTTGGTTTCAATTCTCTCTCAACAAAGGATTGTAATGCTGGCTGAAATCATTCTTATGTTCATCATCTTGATAAGGCCTCATTCCAGCATGAAGTATAGGAAATGTGTTAGATACCCTGGCTAACTGGCTTTCCACCTACATCATATATCCCAGCCTAAAATGATGCAGTGTAAAGTGTTTATGGTGGAGGAAAGTCTTTCCACAATCATTCTTAAATTCACAGTTTCTTCCTGGTATGAATTCTCTGATGGTGAGTAAGTTGTATTTTCAGCCGAAAGGCATTTCCACAATCATTACATTCATAAGGGGTCTCTCCAGCATGGATTCTTTTATGTCGGTAAGGTGTGTGCTCAAGCGGAAGGCATTCCCACATTCATTGCACTCATAAGGTCTCTCTCCAGTATGGATTCTTTTATGTCGAGTAAGGTGTGTGCTCAAGCGGAAGGCATTCCCACATTCATTACATTCATAAGGTCTCTCTCCAGTATGGATTCTCTGATGCCTTTTAAGTTCTCGGTTGTGACCAAAGGCCTTGGCACATTCATTACATTCAAAAGGTTTCTCACCAGTATGAATTCTCTGATGTTGAGCAAGCTGTGTTCTCTGGCGGAAGGCCTTCCCACACTCATCACATTCATAAGGTTTTTCAGAACTATGAGTTGTCTGATGTTGATTCAGTCCAGTCTTCTGGCGGAAAGCTTTTCCACATTCATGACATTTAAATGGTTTCTCACCAGTATGAATTGTTTGATGTTCAGTAAGAGCAGTCTTCTGTCTAAAGGCCTTTCCACATTCCTTACATTCATAAGGTTTCTCTCCTGTATGAATTGTCAGATGTTGAGTAAGTCTTGATCTTTGACTGAAGGCTTTTCCACACTCATTACATTCATAAGGTTTTTCACCAGCATGAATTCTCTCATGAACAGTAAGTCCTCTCCTCCAGCGGAAGGCCTTCCCACAGTCATTACATTCATAAGGTCTCTCACTACCATGGGTTCTCTGATGTAGAGTAAGTCCTCTCCTCCAGCGGAAGGCCTTCCCACATTCATTACATTTATAATGTTTCTCTCCACTATGAATTGTCCGATGTACGATAAGTTCCTTCCTACAGTGGAAGGCCTTTTTACATGTACCACATTTATAATATCTTTTTCCAGTATGAATTATCTGATGTTGAGTAAGTCCTGATCTCTGACTGAAGCCCTTCCCACATACATTACATTCATAAGGATTTTCTCCATTATGAATCATCTGATGTTGAGTAAGTTGTGTTCTCAGTCGGAACATCTCTCCACATACATTACATTTATAAGGTTTTTCTCCAGTATGAGTTGTGTGATGCTGGGTAAGTCCTGATCTCTGACTGAAGCCCTTCCCACACAGAGGGCACTCAAAAGGTTTCTCTCCAATATGAATTCTTTGATGTTGAATAAGTATTGATCTGAACCTGAAAGTTTTCCCACAATCATTACATGTATGTTTCTCTCTAGCACATACTGTATGATCTTTAAGTAAGGCTGAATTATACCTAAAGAATTGTCCATATTCACTGTACTTAGAAACTATCTTTTTGGAGCAAGTTCCATTACTTATCTTTAGGTCTGAATACATTCTGAAGCACTTTCTGTGTGTAACATGCTTGTCAAGAGTCTTTCCTCCTCTTTCTGATGGAACAAAGATCACATTGCTGACTCCAACATATTTACTATATTCATTGTCTCTTGGCTTACTGGAAGGTTTCCTTTGTGTAATTCTTGCTTGCTGAGCACATTTCTTCTCATTGCCTGGATGCCTCTCTAACTGGGCATGCCATTCCTGGACTACTCCCAATGTGGCAACAAAGGGACCGTCTCTTGAGGGTCTTTCCTGGGATGATTCTGCCAATGAAATGCCCAGTTTTGGGGAGGACTCCTTGTTTTCATGTTTAGTTCTCCAATCTGAAAGAAATTTAAAAATGTAAATATCTTCTTCTTCCCTTGATGAATACCTAGTGTTTTCCGGCAAAAAAGATTATTTTTTAAACCTTATTTCCTGCTAAGCCATACTCTAGTTTTCTCAGCACTTTGCTGTTTTGGGGATGATTCAACAAAGTTGCCACAAACATCCATTCCCACACCTTGCTTACTGAGTCCATTCCACTAATCTATTTTTAAAAAACTGATTAACCGTACTAATTAGTTTTGATCATTACTGCTTTAAAATATTCATATCTTGTAGTGCTAGAATCCTCTCATCCCTAATTTTAAAAATTATTTCCCCATTATATCCTAGATGTCTTATTCCTATATATCCTTTTGTCTAATTCTAAGTTAAGTTATATTTAGTCTTTTAAGATTTATTTTTATTTAGTTGATGTAACCCATCTATGACCATTAAATCTCTCTCCAGTGATTTTACTCTTCCTTCAGCTCTGTAATGACTGTTTTACATTTTTATATTTTTACATCTTGATCCACTAACTACCACATATTTTATATATACTTAAGTGAAATTTTAATTTCTATCTTTACCTTCTGCATTTTGTTAGTCAAACAAAAATGATGATGATGATTTTGAGGATTCATTTTTCATCCCACTATTTTGCTGGAGTAAATAATCTCAGTCTGTCTTAAGGTTGATTATCTAGCATTTTCTAAGTAAACCATCATATCTTCTTCAAACAGAAGTATTTTTGTTTCCTCTTGGCCAATGGTTACTCTCCTAATTCATTTTTCCCATCTTTCTGCTTTACATAGCTGAGGTAGATCAAGTAATAGTGAAGATAGGAGCCATCCTGAATGCAGAAAAACCACAGAAATACAAACAAAAAACAGGATGGAAAGTAGTGTTCACACTTTCCCCAATGCACAGCCTCAAGGTTCTAAACTCAAATACCCAAAGATTAGGCAATAAGTAAGAGGAACTAGTGGTCCTAAGATAAGGAAGCAAATTTACCTCCGAAGTATCACTGAATATTGGTGGATAAAATCCATGTTTAAACAACAGTGGCTGTGTTTGGGCATATTTTATAAAAAAAAAAAAGAAGAGGTAAAATATAGGGTAGCATCACATATCAAGGTGAGGGAATCCAGGAACTAGAGGAGAGAAGCATGGAAAATATTTGGGTGAAGGTCTAATGGGGAAGAAACAAGAGATGATGTTGTATACTATAGACCAACTGGACAGAAAAGATGAGTGTGGAAACAGATCACAAGCCTGGTAAAGAGGTGTGCCACAGTAGTGTGAGGGAGTACGTATGGGGGAGTGCTTCATTTGTCCAGACATCTGCTGGAGTGCGCTGCACGCACCTACTGTCTCTTTGACAAAAGAAATGCCTTCTTGACTTGCCACAGGCATGATTTCGTCCTTCAGAAGGTGGAAAAACCAGGAAGAGGAAATCCCATTTTGAATCTGATTCTCACTAATAGGGAGGAACTGGTTGAAGGTATGGAAACCTTGAGGATAAGGGACCACTGCCCCTAGTTTTTTTCCCAGTCATTTTTTTCTTTTCTAATCTTAGCTGTAATGGGTTTATTTGTACAAAACCTTTTTGATTTTACATCAGTGTTATCCATTTTATCTTCTGTGATGCTTTCCATCCTTTGGTCATGAATTCTTCCCTTAACCAGAGATCTGCTGGGCTATCTCTTCCTTGTTTCTCTAATTTGTTTAACCAATACCAAATTGTTTTGAAAATTACTGCTTTGTGGTATATTTTGAGATCTAGTATCACTAGGCCCCTTTGTTTCTACTTTTTCCCTTACTATTTTCCTTAAGATTCTTGATCTACTGTGCTTCTAGATGAACACTATTGCTATTTTTTCTAGTAGCATAAAGTAATCTTGTTTCTCTGGAATTCTCTTAAGTATACCATATCACCTACAAAAAGTTGTAATTTTGCTTCTTTACTTACATTTATTATTTGAATTTTTAAAAAATCTTATTACTATAGCTAGCATTTCTAGTACTATGTCAAACAGAAGATGTGAGAGTTGATATCCTTGTTTTATCCCTGATATTACTGGAAAAAAATTATAGTCTATCTCTTTACATATAATATTGGCTCTTAATTTTAGATATATATTATTCATCATGTTAAAGGAAGGTCCATTTATTTCTATGTTTTCTAATGTTTTAAAGAGAAACAGCATTCAGAGGCAGGGAGGTGGCATAGTACATAAAGCACTGGTCCTGGAATCAGGAAGACCTGAATTTAAATCTGTCCTCAGAAACCTGCCAAATGTGTGACCTGGGTAAGTCATTCAACTTCTGTTAGCTTCAATTTTCTCTCAGTAAAGTGTTTTATCAGCCTTTATTCGGGGTCTTGGCTCGCTGAGGAGCTAAAGACCCTCTGGGTTATCTCTGCCTTACCAACAAACTGAATGTGTTTGGAACTTTGTTGCCTCAGTTTACCTTAATCACTTACAACTTTTGGAATTATTCTTTGAATGTCTGCTAGATTTCAACTGTTACAGAGGATTTTTCCTTTGGAAGTTCATATATGGCTTGTTCTTTTTCTAAGAACGAATGGGCTGTGTGAATTCTCTATTGTTCTGTTAATTTGGGTAGTTTGCAAATATTAATATATTTCATTAAGCTGTCAGTTTTATTGGCAAATGATTTATATAATAATAACTGACATTTCAGGCAGCTAGGGTGTCCAATGGATACAGCACTGGCCCTGAATTCAAAGGCCTTAGACACTTACTGGGTGTGTGACCTTGGGCAAGTCACTTAACTCTGTTTGCCTCAGTTTCCTCATCTGTAAAATGAGCTGGAGGAGACAGCAAACCACTTCATTGTCTTTGCCAAGAAAACCCTACATGTGGTTGTGAAGAGTCAGACATGATTGAAAATGGCTGAACAACACAACAATGACCTAGCATTTATATAGCTCTTTTAAAGTTGGTGAAGTGTTTTACAAATATTGTTTTAGCCTCAAAACCCTGAGCATATTATTGTTTCCATTTTAGAAATGAGGAAACTGAGGCAGACAGCAGTGACTTGCCCATCGTCACACAACTAGTAAATGTCTGATGCTGGATTTGAACTCAGATCTTCCTGACAGCAGACCCAGCCCTCTATCCACTGTACCACCTATCAGCTTATTTTGTTAGTACGGGGGGGAAAACTTTTCCTAGTTTTATTTATGAATTCAATTTTTTTGGCTTCCAATTTTGATTATCTCTTCCTTGATTTTCAGGATGTGTATTTTGGTCTTTAATTTGGATTTTATAAAAATGTTTTTGTTTTCTGGTTTTTTCAGTCTCATGCCCAGATTGTTGATCTCCACTTTCCTTTTTATGTTAATGAAGTTGTTTAGCGATATAAAATTTTCCTAAGGACTATTTTGGCTATATCACATTTTTGATATACTGTCTCATTGTAATGAATTTTCACATTGTCTCATCTTTAATGAAATTCACTACAGTTTCTTTGATTTGTTCTTTGCCATACCAGTTCTTTAGGATTGTTTCTAGTGTCTTGCTGTTTTTAATACTTTTTTCTTCAGCATTTTTTAAGTATATTTATTGCACTATAATCTATAAATGATATGTTTAATATTTCTGTCTTTTTGCATTTGTTTGTGAAGTTTTAGGTCCTAATAAATGGTCAAGTTTTGGAAAGTTGCCATGCACAGCTAAGAATATGCATACTTCTTTCTGTGCCCCAAAGGTCTACTATTTTTAACTTTTATAAAATTCTATTCAGGTATTTAACTTTAGTTTATTTTTTGTTCAGATTTATCTAGGGCTGAAATGGGTACACTAAGGTACATTTAAATTAGTTTTCAAAGAGTTTACAGTAAAGATGGGTAGCACCTATGATATAAAATGCTATCTGAGAAATGATCAAAAGGATGAATGCTCCAGTACTTAGCAAATTACTTAGAACATAGTAGGCACTTAACAAATGCATCTTAATTGATCAACTGAATAAATTCTGAAGACAAAAAAGGAAATAGTTATAGTGAGGAGAAAAAAATGGAATTTGTCTGAAGAGACGAATGTGGATGACACAGGGACTGACCCAATTAAATCAGACTAAAAATGGAATGCACAGAAAATAAAAACAAGGCTAAGTAATTGGGGTACATTCCTGCAAAAATAGTATTAGGTATGCTAAACCTCAAAATGAACTCAGACAGGCAAGGGAAGCTACAGCCAATGGAAAAAAGACTTGCTATTGTTGTAGTCTTAGCTCTACTAGAGACAGTGGAGGATCAGAGGAAGCAAGCTATGCATGGAGTGGAGGAGAGGAAGACACTTATCTTGTTTCTGTTTTCTCAGGCAAGGCAAATCAATTCTGCATCGGGAAGGACAAAACAACAATGACCTGATAGTTGATACCCAGTGTAAACAAGGAGAGAGGGAGAAGTATCTAGTCTTTCCTAATGAATTCAAGTCGCTTGGCCCAGATGAAATAGAAATGGGTACTGAAAGTCCTGGCAGATGCACTAGCTGAGCCATCGAAAGGTCTCTTTCAGATCATGGAAAACAGGAGAGGTGCCATAAAATTAGAGGAGGTCAAATGCCTAGGGAACAGTTTGCATCCCCTCCAGGCCACCGAGCTTGACTTCAATTCTTGAGAAAATTCTAGAATGGATCACTAAAGAGATGGTCGATGAACATGTAGAGAAGGAGCAGTGATTGATTACAAAGCTTCTGCATGACAGCTTCATCAAGAACAAGCCATGGGCAGTTTTGACAAATGGATTCCAAGAGCACTTTCAATGTCTCTGATCAGCCCTGGGTGGTTTAAGATTTTTAGCAATGCCTTAGAAAAAGGCAAAGATCAAATCTGCTATCAGATCTGTAGCTGACCCAAAGCTGGGAGGGGCTGCTAACACAGTGAATTAGGGTCAGGGTCCTGAAGGAGTGGGATAACCTAAAGCACTGGGCTGCATCTAAGAAGATGACATTCCATAAAGATATGTGTAAAGTCTTAACTCTTGAGAATAAATAAGTCAACCTCACAAATAAAAGACTGGAAAAGAACAGTTAGACAGCAGTTGTTTTGAAAAAGATCTGGGGGTTTCTTCAATTCTGATACGAATTAACAATGTGATGTGCCTGCCAAAAGTGAACGTGATCTTGAACTACAGGAAGAAATATTCACAATAGTATTTGCCGACATTTCTTTTTCCTTTGTTTCATCCCCAAGAAGCACGGAGTTGGGGCCAAGAGGACCTGGGTTCTTCTCTTTTCCCCAGTTCAGCTAATGTAATCTTTTTGTTATTCTCAGCCAACCTGTGCCAGCCTCAGGTCATTCTGAGCTTGCCCACTCTGCCATACCACTATTCTTTAGGGACCACAGCACGCTTGTTTCTTCGTCTTTAACCTCACCCTATCTACTGTTTAATTCTTGCTGCCTACAAACACACCTAAGAATCCCTCCCTATCCTTCCAAAACTCTCACCAGACCCTGATGTCCCCTCAAGCCATTGATCTCTTCTCCTTCCCAGCCAAACTCCTAGAAAACACTGGTACTATTCATTTCCTCCACTTCCTCTCCTTTCACTCTTCTAAACCATCCGCAGGGAGTCTTTTAATCTCATCAATCAACTGAAACTACCCTCTCCAAAGTCACCATCCATTTCTGAATTGTCCAATCTAATGACTTTATTTATCCATCCTCTGGACCTTTCTGCAGCATTTGACAGAAGAGGGTCCAGGATAGAACTTGAGGTGATACCCCCAAGTCACTGACTCTCACATGGCTGATAAGCCACTAAAGGAGAATGAGGTAGAGGGGGTCAAACAGGGAGAGAACCAAGTGAAAAAAGTGTCATGAAAATGCCCCACCAACAGGTCACCTGAATGGCTCCATGAGCCACTTGCCGGCAAAGCCCACGCTGCCTCACCTGGACAGCTGCTTCTCTGGGCGACGTCGCTCCCTGGCATCCATGGTGCTTCCCCCTGTTCCAGTTGGCAGATCACACGTGGTTTGGAAGCTGCAAGTCCTGTTCATTACAAATGGGAAAGTGTTTTGGGCCAGTGAACCATCTTAACACTCAGTCCCAGGCCCTCTCTCTTGTCCTCAAAAGGATCAGGAAATACCAGAGACACCCTACACTAGTCACTAAGGGGAGAAGCAAAGACTCTCTGGTGGGCAAATTCCGAGTGTCCTAGGAGCAGCCCATGGTCCTCACCCAGGCAGACAAGGTTCCTGTAGTTCTCCAGCATCACTTCCTTGTACAGCTCCTTCTGAGAAGGGCCTAGCTGCCTCCACTCCTCAGGGCTGAAGTCCACAGTCACATCTCTGAATGTCACTGACTCCTGAAATATCAAATATACTCAGAGTTAGCCAGGACACACCCCTTATATAGAGGTGGGAAGAGAAATTATGTTGGCAGGAATTGTACCAAGTGCTTCTCGACTGTTCAGAGCTTCATTGTTTGCCAGGTGTAACACCTGTTTCACTAGACTCACCCAGAGAGGTTAGAGATATTGTGACTGTCATCTTTATTTTTTCAAGTGACATTTTTTTCTCTCCCTCCCACCCCCACCCCCCCAACTAAAAAAAGAACAAAACTCTTGTCATAGATATGCATAGTCAAGAAAAACAAATTCCCACATTGGTCCTATCCAAAAATGCATCTTGAAACCATCATTTCTGCCGGGAAGTGGCTTGTGTTTTTCAGCATTCCTCTATTTGTTATTACATGGTTGTGGGGATTATAGAAAGTGCTCTCCTGGTTCTGCTCAATTCACTCATCACTGTAACTTTAAAAGTCAAAGGCAGTGCTGCAGAGATGGCAGGGTATTTTCTAACTGTCACCAGGGTGGGGAAGGGGAGAAAAGGACTTCCAGTAGCCAGAAGCTACAAACTGTCCCTGTGCTGCACGTGCTTTGTACGCGTGAGCCCACTTCCCTCAGGACTCTAGATGCACGGGTAGAAAAGTATATCACAGATGTGTTTGGGGGGGGAGGGGTGGAGGAAGGGCCGAGAAGAATGTTTTATACCAAATGTTCTCATTATTATCTTAGTAAATACACCTTTTCTAAAAGCCAATCCAGTACAGTTGGACAAATGCTATCAAGTGACAATAACGGAGGAAAGTACACTGGTTGGGGCTCGTGAGCGACTGCACTAGGAAAAGACAATACCTCGACCCTTCAGAGGCACCTTCAGAACTGTGAAGGGCCTGATAACCGTGTTCTGGGGCCCCAGTTCATCTGGACCAGTGGAAGCTGGGAGAGCTACTTTACAGCCTGTGCTACACAGATCTATACAGAACAGCTTCCTCAGAGACACAAAGTGATGAGGGGCCGGAAAGGGACTTAACAGCTAGAGGCCAGAAAATGCTTTTGGTAGGTAACGCCTGGACTGAACCTTGAAGGAAACTAGGGATTCGAAGGCAGTGGTGAGGAGAGAACACGTTCCAGACACGGCATACACAGCCAGTGCAAAGGCAGGAATATGGCAGAAAATAAGGAGAGTTTCTTGGGTGACAGTGTGTGTGTGAAGGGGAATAATGCACAAAAAGGCAAGAAAAGCTGTCAGAGGTTAGGTTGTGAAGGGCTTTAAATGTCAAACAGAAGAACTGACACTTGACCCCTGAAGGAACAGGGAGCCACAGGAGATTACTGAGTAGGGGAGAGAGGTGGTCAGACCACACTTTAGGAAAATCACCGTGCAGCTATAGAGTGGGAGAGTCTTGAGGCAGACAGACCAAGAGAAGACCACTGAGGTGAGGTGATGTGGGAGCAGAAAAGCTGCTGAGAGAGCAGATGGAGGAGATGCTGCTGACGTGGCCTGACTGGATGTGTGGTGTGTGGTGTGTGGTGTGTGAGGACAATCCTGAGGAACATCCTTGAGAACTGGAAAAATGGTGCTGCCCTCAGAAGAAATAGGAAAGTCTAGAGGCAGGAAAGAAATAGGAAAAGTCTGGGAGATGTTTGTAGGGGAAAGATAAAACATTAGGCTGTAAACCTATTAAGTCTGAGAAGCCTACAGGACAGCCAGTGTAAAGAGTCAAAATCAATATCAAATCACAGAAACCATAAAAATGACATTAAAGAAAATGACAACGACGAATATGAAATGCAGAAACAACATCTCAAAAAGAACAAACCACCCTCACCTGGGAGGCCCCAGGAGCCATGGCCTCCTCTCCGTCAGTCAGAAGGCAGAACTGGCGAAGCAAAGCACCATGCGGGGGGCGCTGGTCCTCTCGAGGCTGGGCATCCCCAGGAAAGAGGGAGCTCACAGGATATTCCTAGAATTTGATCCAATGAAACAAATATTCATTACGTGTCAGATACTGTGCTGGGTGCAGGGGGCAGCCGGGCCCTGCTTGGTCCCAACTCCATGGAATGAGACGCTCCTCCCAAAATAAGCTGATCGTGCTGTCCGACCCGACCATGAGCCCCCTCCCTTGGCCTCCTCTCCCCTGGGACAGGCAGGCTGGAGCCCTCAGTTCTTCCCAAGCCTCCCTTTGGAGGGCAGAAGCGGGGCTCTGCTCTTCACTCCACTTTTTATCTGCAGCCTCTTGACCTCCACGACGCCCCTGGGTGGGCACCCCTGCTGTCCGTCAGCACCGCCCCGCCCCTTCCAGCCTCCTCTTGGGTGTCATCTCTCCCCATCACATTGTGAGCTTTTTGAGGGCAGGGACTGACTCACTTTGTATCTCTCAGTGCTTAGCATAGTGTCTGGCATACAGTAGGTGCTTAATAAATGTTTATTGAATTGAACCTGGGTAGAATGGAGATCAAAAGCCAGCTGCTGGATGCTTTTAGCCCTCAGGGTCAAACTCATGACCTCAGGCCTCTGCATCAGAAGTGACAGTATCTCATCTCTGCTGGGAGGGGCAGACACAGGCCAGGTAAATCAGGGACAGATGTGCCCTGCGAGGAGGTACCACCCTTCCGGGAGGGCCGGGAGAGGCTACAAAGAGGGGAAAGGAAAGATGATCCAGAGGGCAGCCTCTGAACCCCAGGGGACGCTGTCCTCACCCGGGGAGACCACCTCCCTGCGGGAAGGGTCCAGCCGCGGCTACCCCTCCAGCGTCAAGTCCACACACAGCGGTTTGCACGCTGACTCGCCTACTGCACCGTGCAGGGTCCTGCAGCGCAGGGAGCTGTTGTTTCCCCGAGGTGGCCACCAATAGTATGTGCCCGGCAGACAGTAGGTGCTTCACAAACGCTAGCCGCCGAGGTCTCCCGCAGTGCAGTTCAGGCTTCGCATCCCACATGCGTCGCTGCTCGGGCCGCGCCAGCTGGTGAAGCGCCCCGCAGAACAAGACAGAGCTCTGGGGACAGGTCGGGAGGTCTGGCAGAGGACGCTTCCTGAGGCCCGGCCACCGGGGTGAGCCTTCCAGGGCACCACCGACAAGAACTGCAGGTTGGCTCGTCTACGGCTGACCCCGTACCCGGGGTGGGGGGGCGGTGTTCCGCGCCCCCACTTTACAGAAGCCAGCCCGTGGTGGGGGAGGGGAAGGCGCCTCCGTGAAGGAAGCGCTGCCGGAGGCAGAGGACAGGGCAGATACAAACAAGGACACGTGACGTCACAATAAGTAATACGTAGGAAGCACGGAAGCGCTTTGGGGGCCACCTCACTGGACGACTATACACAATAAGTGACCGAGTCTCCATGGGGAAAGGCCTCGGGTGAAAGGCGGGGAGTGAGCCGAAGGCGAAGCAGACAGAGCCAGCCTCACGCGCTTCCGAGCTGGAGGACCCTGGGCAGGTCACTTCACCAATCTGCCTCAGTTTCCCCATCGGCAAATGGGGTAGTAACACCCTGACGTCTTACCACGGCAGGCCCGGACCTAGCCCAGGCTGCCCCTCCGGCACTTCAGCCCTCCCTCCTTACAGCGGGCCCTCAGCCTCTCCGGCTTCCCTCCTCCCCGTCCTGCCGGCTCTGGAGCTCCGGGTACACCTCCCATTGGACGAGGCTGGGGACGGGAGGCAGGGGCACCTCTGATTGGACAGGCCTCACCCCCCCCAGCTGGCCAATAAGGGTGTGCGCTCGCGGAGGGGGGCGGGCCTCCGTCCCGCACTGCGCACACTCGGCCCTGGCGCTTCCAGCTCGGGCTCACCTTCTAGCCCCAGCGTCTACCCTCGCTGCACCGAAGCGCATTGGCGCTGGGTGGAGAGGCTGGGGTGGGGGCAGGGCCCGGAAACGGAAGTCACGAGGGACACCAGCGCGGCCTTCTGACCATCACGTCTGGATATTCCACCATTTCTCCCCCCCCCCCGTTCCCCCAGATCCCTCGCAGCGTTTACCACCTCAGCCCCCGGCCTCTTGCCTTGTGGGAAACCTAATGAGGCATCGGGGCGTTTTTGCACGTGGCCGGCAGGGCGGTGCTGGTCCAGACGTAGACACCCGAGCTTCCTGTGCTCTTCACAAAGTTCATTCCCACCCAGTCTCATCCCTGGGCCCTTGACTGCCTGCCAACTTGGTAAAGGAGCTGGCTTGCTGTCCCCCTTCCATCCCTTTGCCATCTGGAGCTCCTGCCTGTCGGCGTGCCAGCTGGCCCACAGGTACTCTCTCTGCGCGCCATCTTTGGTAAAGGACCTGAATGGCAAGGCTCGTCGCTGAGGCTTGGAAATGGATTTGCTGGCGATGGGGCTCCGAACACTCTTCCCCAGAGCCCTCCTCTTCAGACTCGATGGACTTCTGGCCTCTAGTTTCACATCCACTCTTTAATGCTCTTTTTCTTTTCTTTTCTTTCCTTTTTTTTGTTACATTCAACTCTCCATCTTCTTCACAAGAGTCACATCCTTCTTCCACTTCAGAACTCTTCCCCATCCATCCCCCTTGAAGCCTCACTATTTTGCCCCCTCCATTCTCATTACCAACCTGCAGTATCTGCAGTATGGAGATAAATTCAGAATGCTTCCCCTCCTTGAGGATGGAGATCAGCCTACATTGGGATTACAGAGTAATAGTGAGTTGCTGTGCAGAAATGCAAACATTGTACTCTCAAGTCACCACACAAATTCCTCTCCTCTCCATAGAGAAGAGTGATGAAAGCTGAATCTGCAATTTTAGGGCTATAGAGGACTCACTTGGCGAGGAAGCCTTTTATCTATGCACTGTACAAGTGTTAACTATTATTATTTTTGTCAAAAGACAGTTTCTGCCCTCGAGGAGCTCACAATATAATGGGGATTACAACAAACAAAGATACACAAACAAGTTATATACAAGATCAACAAGAATTAAGAAAAGGACTGAAATTAAAGAGAGGTTAGGAAAGGCTTCAGTTTAGATGGGATTTAAAGGAAGCCAAGGAAATTAGTAGGTAGAAATGAGAAGAGAGAGCATCCAGGCATAGAGGACAGCAAGAAAAACTGCCCAGGAGCTACAACATGTAGTATCTTGTTCCTGAAATAGCAGGGAGGCCAGTGTCCCTGGATTGAATATGTAGCAAGTAGTAAGATATAAGAAGACTGGAAAAATAGGAGGTTAGGTTATGAAAGGCTTTGAATGCCAAACAGAGCATTTTGTACTTGACCCTGGAGGCAATAGGGAGCCACTGGACTTTATTGAGTAGGGGGACGACATGGTCAGACCTGCACTTTAAGAAATCACTTTAGTAGCTGAATTGAGGATGGATTGGAGCATGGAGAGACTGGAGGCAGGCAAACCAACCAACAGCTATTGCAATAATCCAGGCATGAGGTGACCAAGTGGTAGACCAGAGTGGTGGCAGTAGCAGAGGCATATTTGAGGAATGTTGTAAAGGTGACTCAACAGACCTTGGCAACAGATTGGATATGGGGGGTGAGGGATAGGTGTCAAGGATGACCACTAGATTGTGAGCCTGAGGGACTGAGAAGATGATGTTACCTTCTATAGTAACCAGGAAGGTGGGGGGCAGGGTTTAGGGGGAAAGATAATGAGTTCCATTTCAGACATGTTGAGTTAAAAATGTCTACTGAACATTCCAATTTGAGATCTATGAAAAAGGCAGTTGAAGATATGAGACTGGAGGGCAAAAGAGAAGTTAGGGCAGGATATGTAGATTTGAGAATTGTCCACATAGAGAAGACAATTAAATCCACCAGAGATAATATCAAATGAAATAGTATAAAAGGATAGGAAGGCCCGGGACAGAACCTTATGGGACAGCTACAGTTAGAGGGTGTGATCTAGATGAGGATCCAGCAAAGGACATGGAGGAACAGTCAGATAAGTGGGAGGAGAACCAGGAGAGAGTGGTGCCTTGAAAACCTAGAGAAGAGAGTGTCAAGGAGAAGCAATGAACAATGTCAAGGGCTATAGAGTGGTTAAGGAGAATGAGAATTGAGAAAAGCCTATTGGATTTGGCAACTAAGAGATAACTGGTAAGTTTGGAGAGAGAAATTTCAGTAGAAAAATGAAGTTGGAAGCTGGATTGGAAGGAGTTAAGAGAGTGAGAGGAGAGAAAATGCAAGCAGCTATCATAGACTGCCTTTTGAAGAGCTTAGCCACAAAGGGCAGAGAAGATACAGGACAGTGGTTGGCATGGATGGATGCATCCAGTGAGGGTTTTTTGAGGATTGGGGAAACCTGGTCATGTTTATAGGCAGTACGGAATCAGCCAGCAGACAAGGAGAAAATAAGTGATAGAGTGGGTATGACAGTGGGAACAGGCTGTTGGAGAAGACCAGATCACTTTAGCTGTTAGAGGAGTCAGCCTTAGTAAGGAGTAAGGCCACTTCATCATGTGAGACAGGTTTGAAGGAGGAGATAGTGGCAGAAAGCATCTGAATGACAGGAGATGAAGAAGGGATAGGAGGGAATTCACACTGAATGGCCTCAATTTTTTCTGTAAAATATGAGGCAAGATTCCCAACTGAGAGAATGGTGGAGGGGGAGTGAAGAGAGTTTTGAGGATGGATGGACAGGTTTAGAAGAGCCACTGTGGAGAGAGGGAGAGTGAGTTGATGAGGGAGATATTGTATTGCTTAGTAGGAGTGAGAGCAACTAGGCATTGCAGGGGATAGAGCGCTGGGCCTGAAGTCTGAGAGACTCAGCTTCCCGAGTTCAAATCTGGCCTCAGGTATTTAGTAGCTGTGTGACCCCGGGCAAGTCACTTAACCTTGTTTGCTTCAATTTTCTCATCTGTCAATTGAGCTGGGGAAGGAAATGGCAAAACCACTTCAGTATCTTTGCTAAGAAAACCCCAAATGGGGTCATGAAGAGTCAGGCATAATTGACAAATGACTGAACAACAACAAAAACTTGTTTCCTCCATCGTAATCTAAACTCCTTGGGTGGAAGGAAACAAGCATTCATGAAGTGCCTACTACATGCCTGGCAAAGTGCTTTAAAACTATCTCATTTGTATGAGATTTGTATTACTGCTCGAGGAGGGAGCTGTTATTATATCCATTTTATAGTTGAGGAAACTGAGGCAGAGGTTAATTGACCTGGCCAGGATCACACAGCTAGTAACTATGTGAGGCTGGATTTGAACTCAGGGCTTCCTGATTCCCAATCCCAGTAGTCTATCCACTGCGCTGCCTAGCAGGGATTATTCCATTCTTTGTACTCGTGTCGCCAACTTCTGTCAAAGTTTACGGCACATAACAGGCACTTAACAAATGCTTATTAATTGATTTCTCAATTGGAAGTGACTGCACTGTAGTGCTCCCCCCATTCAGGGATAGGGATTTTCCAGTCAGTGCTGGTGGACCACAGGACCTGGCTGTTTTATTACTGTTTTGGCAGTGGTACTTCTACCGCTGAGCTAAGCAAAGGCCGATGTGTAATAAACTAACTTTTAACTGTGACACAGTCAGCGGTCTGCCCAGCAAGTCAAGTCAAAAGAAGTCAAGTGCTAACTAGGAGCCGGAACTGTGTTAAATCCTGGGAAAACAAATACAAGCAAAAAGACCGTCCCTGCTCCCAAGAAGCTTCCATTGGGGGGGGGGGAGGAGACACACAACACATATAAATAAACTGAAAAGTTTTGGGGGACAGGGGAGGCAAGAGAATGTCGTTTGTCCTTCGTTTTCTTTTAGGCAATCAGGGTTAAGTGACTTGCCCAGGGTCACACAGCTAGTAAGTGTCAAGTGTTTGGTTCGAGGTCGGATTTGAACTCGGATCCTCCTGACTCCAGGGCTGGTGCTCTATCCACTGCGCCATCTAGCTGCCCACTTTGTCCTTCACTTTCAAAGAGGTCCAGTGACATCCCAGGATGATGTCTCGACTTGTACATGAATTGGATTGCCTTCCCATCCAAATCTGCCTTGCATTAGCTTTGTACATGCCTCTCTACAGGCAGAGATGCACTTGTATTTCCCTGCTCCTTGAGGGTAGGGCCTACTTCATTTTTGCTTCAAATAGCCAGCCCCAAACACAGTGCCTTGAAAACAGGTGTTGTTTGTCCTTCCTTTTCAAAGAGGACCGATGACATCACAGGATGATGTCCTGGTTTGTGCAGGCAGAGTTGCACAAAGTCTTCCGCCTCACTCTCTCTTCCAGAGTCACTGAAGTCCAGTGGCAAGACAAAAGTCAGGAGGACTGACCACGGCCCAGTACACGATGGATGGTCTTGGCATCTTCAACGTCTGACCAAGCTCCAAGCGCTCCCCAGCACCTTCTTCAGCTTCCATCATAGCCAGTGGAAGAAACTTCTCATCTACCCATTCCACCAGGGGAAGTCTTCACATACTTTGGGTAGACATCCCCTAACCCACCACTGAGGCCCATCAGTTAGCCTCAACCTGGTTTAGATTGTTTGCTGAGACATGCTACAGCTTCTTGGAGCCACAGGTGAGAATTGGGGCTGTCTAGAGCAATGAGAGGGAAAGTGTTTTTGCTCAGGGTCACAGCCAGTGTGTGTGAAACTTGAACTCAGGTCTTCCTGGTTCCAAAACCTGGTCTGTAACCACTCTCCCTTCTGTGATTTGCCAAAGACAGAATAAGAACTGGTCTCAGTGTCCAATCAG